ATAATTTGTTCTTTTTTCCTAGTATCATTTTGTTGAAGGAATTAAATAAATGCAATACAGTTAAATCAGCCAAAATAAGTGGATGGAGTCAGGGTACTGGAAATTGCCTTTCTTTTGAAGGAACATTTTATTTCATCGTGGGGTTCATTTCATTGCTTTGCCCATTATTGCATCTCTTATGATAACATGAACTATGTGCTGGGATCCAGAACACCGTGACATCGCTAGAACATGCAAGAACAAGCAATTAACTTTCTGTGTAAATATCATCAGGACTGATGCAGTTGATGGTCAAACCTATGAAGCCAAAGTTATTCTGTTATATTTGTCACTGGGATTTGAGAGCCCTGATCTTTGCAGCTGGCTCAGCATGCCTTCTGACATTAAAATGCTCTCCTGATATTGATAAGTTAATGAGCTTTGTCACAATTGCACATTTTCCTGGTAGGAGAGGAAATGTGTGGCTTTAGCTGTGACCAGCAAATAGCTTTTCTTGTTTGATACCGCATAAGCAGAAGATAACATGAGAGACCTGACTTACTATGTAACGCATGTGAAATTGGCTTTATGTTGAAAAACACTACACCCTGCCTTACCGAATAGTGGATGTTACTTTTTTATAATACATTTACACATAAATAAAGCAATTGAATGACTTTTACATTGTGGGAAGGGTATGTACACCTTTGCATGAACCTGAATTGTTTGCACACTAAAGCGGAGGAAAATGATCTTTTTATTATAATTAGCTTTTTCTCTGTCATTCTGTCCAGGCCAAAGTGAGCCTACAGTTTGACATCTATGGAAAGAGCATTGGGTTGTAAACAGAGGAAGCTTTGTTAAGTGCTGCATCGAAAGCAGTCGCATAAGACAATTTACTTCAGTGGAAAAGCAGACATATCAGGACATCACCACATCCAGCTGTACTTGGATTTAGAGAGCGTATATTAACTGTTGTCACTTTCACATACTTTTTTTTTTTTTTTACCACTTTCTCTCTCCAGCTTGACACATCACCTGTTATCACTCCCCTGTCACATTCTTAAGAAAAACACACCTTCAATGTTTTTTCCTGTATTCTCAAAACACCTATGTTTTGCCCCCTTTATTGCTCTACTCACTTCATTCCTCGTATTTTTTCCTGGCCTCTCGTTCCCTCTCACTCATCTCCCTCCCTGGACAGTTTGTTTGTAGCTGTGAAATGAGAGTGGTAATTGAAGAGAGGCTGGGAGCTGAGTGAAGCTCATGATGTGTGTCTACGAGGCGAGTTTCATAGCACTGCTGTCGTCTCTGTGGAATTTCGGTGAAACTTGATGCAAGATTGTGCACTCTGCATGTAGCTAGAAAACCATTATCTGTCAAAGCACGGAGGGATGCTGTTATAATCTTCATGTTAGTGTCACAGATTGGACAGGAGGTACAGTAGAGCAGAGGCACACAATCACAAACGTCTTCAAGAATGTAATACTGAAATTTTATTGCATTAGGCAACAGGGCTGTGTATGTGTGTGAATAGAGTACAGCTATGTAGAGAACTGTTCTCCCTGTGGGTGTGTTTTTAGGTGCTGTTGCCAGTACAGAGGTAAAGATGCGACTTCAGGAGTTTGTGCTGAACAAGAAGAAAGCCTTGGCTCAGCGAAATCTAAACCACTGTCTGCCCAGTGACCCACGCTACTGGTATGGGTGAGTGTCAACCACTACAGAAGCTTGTATGCTTTGGAGCGTAACTTGTTGTATACCAATGACTAATTTATGCAGCATGAAGTCTAAATTCCAGTTTATGTCAGTATAAAGCTCCTGTTTACACTACATCGCCTACTGTATGGGTTAGAGAATAGTGTCCCAAGTAATGAAATGATTGTGTGTGTATTTTAAGTTAGGTTAGGCTTGGAAAATGGAATGCACAATATTCTGATGTAAATATGGTTTTATATGTATTTTCCTATAGAAAAACCCAGCATAGCTCTTTGGATCAGAGCTCTCCTCCCCAAACAGCACTGTCTGCATACAACCACCAAATGCTGGGCACATACGACTCTAAAGATGACTTCCCTCTGCGCAAAACAGGTACAGAATGGTGCCAGTGTTTTGCTGGGGCATTGTAACTTCCTGATATTCATATTCTTCCACCGCTAATAGCCAGCCACATTACCTGTCAAGAAGGGAGCCCTGCTATAATCTTCCTTTTCCTAGTATGAAGAATTGAAATGTCTTATTGGGTTTCAAAGTCAGGCTCATGAACCAGGAGTCAGCCACTGGAGGATTAAAAGGAGCTGCTGAAATATTCTTTAAATAAAAGATACCAGAGGTTATTTTTGAGGTCTTTTGAATCATTCTAAATTAGCCTGGATAGCCGGAGAGCAGAACCGTTTGAAATTAGAACATTAGAAAGCTCAAAATTATTCAAATTGTGCAGTAGAATACCAAAATTCCCATATTAACCATGAGAGACAAGAGACCACAAGCTGATCGCTAGCAGGTAAAACCTATGTTTTCTGGTTGATCATCACCTATTAAAGGATTCTAGCCTAAAACGACTCTTTGTCAGTCTCTACGTTCATCATATAGGTGTGTAAGATCTGATACAGGCAAAATTATTCCTGTTAAAGCCAGCTGGATATTCCCCTGTTTTAGGCTCATTCACACAGACATAGTCTAACACATTCAGCAACACTCCTTCATTGATCACAGTGTTCAACAAAACAACTCTTGACTACTCTGAGAAGTGGCCTAGGAAGCATGTACAAACCACAGTTCCTGTCTTTTGGATGCATCAGACTGTTATTTCTCTGTCCTTCTGTCCATGTCAAGTACGCCCAAGCTGTGATTATTCACTTAGCGTCAGCAGCTGCTTTGGAACTATCACTGCCTGATTTCACAGCTGGAGGCCAAACTCTGTGTACTCTGCACTCCTGCCCACCTGCTGTGTGCTAGCCGCAGGAAAGATTTATCCTGGCACAGAACCTCAGGCGGCAAGTTACAAATTTCAGGGACACTCAGATGTAATTTCGGAAGGTCTTGGGAGAAGTATACAAAAGTTTCAGCTACACAGTTCACATTGACATGAGGTCTAACAAGCAATATCTCTGTGCATATGTAAAGAAAATAACTTTTTTTAGGGGAAATTGAGTTGGAGATTTGAAAGCGTTGGTCTTTGTGTTAGCTACACAGTAAGGAGAGGCAGAAAGGGAATACCGGTTGCACATGCGCACATTTTGGCTGTTGAGGAACGTTTCTGTCAGTAGCAAGCAGACGTAGATCAGATTAGACCGGCAGACAGAAAGCTGGGCTGTGTTCAAGAGGACGTGGTCGACAGTAGTCACCACAGCCGATCTGACGACCAGAGCTGTCATACATGACGTTTTTGCCTGTGGTGACCCATCTAAGTAATGTATGCGTGTAAATTATAAATGTACTGTATGTTAAGAATTATTTTTCTGTTTAGCAAGGCCAGGCATACGATATTACAACAGGGGTTCATTGTGCTGGTCTGAGAGCCTTTGTGAGGATGGCTCTCAGAAGACAGAGGGCCACTTTGAATGCTGCTGCAGGAAGTCAGATTGGCCTTCATGACAGATGCAGACTTGTCATGCTGACCCTCTTTCTGCCTCAGTCTTTCACACACTGTAACATGCATTCCCATACCACACTGTGTCTTGAATATTTAAACAATGCGGGATACCCACATGCAGTATAGCACTTTCATGTTCACTGAGTGAGGTAGTGGATCTGTGTCTTCCTGGAGAACATTACAACCTGGTGGCTATTACCATGATGGTCTCACTTCAGTCTGTCTTTCTGAGATGCTGATGGTAATGGACTATAAACTGGGTGTGCTGGTGCACTTGCGGGTTGCTCTTTTAATGTTACAAGTAGGAGTTTAATAGCTAAAATGTAAATAAGAGAAAAATCACCATCTGCTTTTCCACCCACCTCACTCATCTTCCCCTTTGGTGTCACAACAGTCAGTTATGGGCACCACTCATGTAACAAGCTCATATGTCTTCCATGAAAAGGCATCATTAGTTGTAACTATCAGAGGGAAAATGTCAACCATCTCTTTGGTGTCTTTGTGTCTTATGCTCATATCCACTTTATATGCCCACATGAGAGATGGTTAAATATTTGGATGATTAGTTTAAAGACAAGTGAGACAAATCTGTCTGTCGGTGTGTTTGTATCCATCTTACCTATCTAATGTATCATCCTCATATAAGATTTCTGGGAAGTGCCACTGATGAGTTTTAGAAAACTACTCTATTGATTTCCATAAGGCTCCCTCTCTCTGTCTACCGTTCCTTGGCAGAGTAGTATGGCTTCCCCCAACATGACTCTAGCACCTCAGGACTCCCATCTGTCAAAACAGATGAGCAACTGATCGATATGTTTTGTATCAGAGAACCAGCTTCCTACTTCACTCTCTATTGAAATATTAAGGACCACTTATTGAGATGTTTAATCTGGTATTGATATGCCATCAGGTAGGGTTAAGGGTTTTGTACACTTTTAAAGGCTCCAATGAGGACAGACCATAGAAGTTTTTTTTAAATCTTGAACAACGTTGTGTAATAGAAAATCAGATATACAGATAAAGCATCTTCGGAGAAACACTAAAACCACAGTGCAGCAATGTCTCTTATCGAAATGGCATTTGATGCCACACGATATCAGCGCATTTTGAGCATGTAATAAGTAGCATTTAAAGTAAATAGACATAACATTCAGAACTGTTGTGGGTTATTTCTTTCCTCGGTTTAAAAGCCTGTTTCTTCACCCATGGCTAATTTACACCTGCACCCACAGCCCTACTGTAGTTAATGTTTTCTTTCTAATACCAGGACTGTGGGGTGCAGAGGTCCAGCTAATTCTCTGCCTAATCATTGAATGTCCCATCTATTATGACTGCAGTAGAACCACAGAAGAAGACAGAGAATTCAAAGTTACAATAATCAGAATGTGAAATGCTGCTTTGTGTTTGGGTCACCACCGTCATAAAACAGGATAGTCATGTGTGCTGTAATGAGGCACCATGTGTACCGTTGCTTCTGTTGTGTAAATTTGCAGAGAGAAACTGAAATAGGGAAAAGGCTCAACATTGAAGGAGACATGGGGAGTTAGAGGAAGAGACAGATGAGGGGATGGATGAAGGTGAGAGAGGGAGACAGGGCTATAGTAAAATGCTAGGGTAAGCAGTAAAACCAGTCTAGGCCCTCTGCAGCGAGTGTGTTCACACGTGTGCACAGTGGTGTGCTTTTGCCCAGTCGGCATTAACACCCTTCAAAGTCACTGTGTCCTGAGGCGAACACCCCCACTGCGTCCACAGCCCTGCTTCACTCTCCTTCTCTTTCTCCTTTAGTGTCCTCCTGACCTGCCATTTATCTTTCCATCTAGCTTGCCCCGTCTCTCTATCCACTCTTTCTTTTATTTGTCTTAGTCAAACACAACCTTGAGCCCTCTCCTCTTCCATTCCACTATCTTTATATGCCTTGTTTCTCCTTTCTGGGCTCCTCCTAGACTGTCCACAGTCACCTCTACAGCCCACTCTCAGTAGATCTTCACAATGTTATAAAGTTTTCAGTGAAATCTAGTTTATATTGGAAAACATATCTTAAACATAATGTTTGTATGTGATTTTAGCACATGCAGGTCCACCATCGTGGCTCGTATTAGAGCCACTGATGGTAATAGCTGTTATCAGAATGACATCTTAAACAGTGATAAAGACAGCACAACATTCTGGCCAAATTCTAGTGGTTCATTTACTACTCTTCCCATTATTAACAAAATGATAAGGTTATCATTTAAGGGGCTTCAAAGCACATTCAGTGCTGGTTATGCAGCATATCAGAAGTCTATAAAAAGCACCTTTATTTCTGCTTCTTTCATAGGTAATGTCAAACTACTACAATTCCCTGTGCAGTACACTAAAATTGAACTTGAATGCACTGTGCTCCTTCTCTCATTATCTTTTCTGTTCAGCTAATGCATAGCATTTTACCCTGACCCGCCCCATCCCTCTTAACAAAGACTTTGGAAGAGTGCCCTCAACTTAGAAGAAGCTCTTTTTTATATAACTGACTTTAATAAGTTCAGCAGTATGATCCCCTTAAAATTGAAAGTGCATTTGAAAAAGTACTTAGTTTTTATAGATCCAGAATAGGTCATCTCATCCCCACTGACCAGGAGGTGTAATGAATCCTTGCACCTCTTTCAGGTACATTAAAACTTTGTGTAGCTTGATTAACATCAAGCAAGGGTGCAGGATTTGTCAGGACCCAGAATAAATGTTCTACCAGGGAAGAATCAGTAGCTTCTCCTTGGCTATATCAAAAAGTCTCAGCTCCTTCTCTGGGGATAGTGAACGTAGCGTGCCCTGTTTGATACAAGGTCGTGGGATGAGCTTAGGGTCAGCCGTTGGTCAACCATCCAGCTCCAACTAATTGAACGGAAGGAAGCCAGTGGAGGAGGGAATAAAGCTGCCAGTGTCTGGGCTAGTCTGACACAGACACCAAAGCAAGACTGCCCAGAAAAGGCCAGGCCATCTCTCTGACAAGATTCCCAGAAAATACTGTGTGCTTGCCTCACGGCTTGCTCTTATGTTGCACTCACCAGTACAGAATGGGAGCATCTGTTTGCAGGAACAGCCTCAAGAAATATGAATATAAAGACACATGAAGAGCCATCCAAGCAATAGACTGATAAGCTTTTCTCTCACTCTTCTCTTGCCTGCTTTAAGACTTCTGGGGTCATCTCACGGTCAGCTTTATCACCTCCACCTGTATCACCCTTGTAAATAAAGCAAATAAACGCAAAATAAAGCGCACAGAGCAAATGAGAACAAATAAAGCAAAGTCAGAGCGACAGTTTTCAGAGATTCTGTAATTTCCAACATATTCATGGGGCTAATTTTGCTAATTTCATTTCATTTCCTAATGAACATTCCTTTGTCTGTCTTCATTGTTTACTGCCTGTTTATACTGCTTATTTTGCATTGTCTGCTTTATGTTGGTATATTGTTTACTTGCCCCTTCCTTGCTGTTGCCTTGAATGGGGATATGTACATGCACATTGCCACTGTACCAAGTGCAAGTTTCTCATGTCCAACACACCTGGCCAATAAAGCTGATTCTAATTTGGGGTGTAATATATTAATATTTTTAGAATGGGTGGCCAAATAGGAAATCAAACACTTAACCCTGGCACTGCTTAGCTCTGTCCACTTAGTTATCTGCTACTCATTTGTTACATGGGACGGGACCAGTCATGTTTGTAGACAGAAACAGATATTGACAACCATTTTTTGTCATTCTTGACAGCTTCATCAAACATAAACAAAATTCTACATTACTTTAAAGTTTTGTCTTACTCCAGACTGAAACTTCTCTGCCTTTTGCATAAATCCTCAGTCCTGTTCTTGGTCCTGTCTTTGTCTCGTCAGCCTCCGAGCCCAACTTGAAGTTTCGGTCCAGGCTAAAGCAGAAGGTGACAGAGCGCCGCAGCAGCCCTCTGCTGCGCAGGAAAGATGGTCCCATCAGTACTGCCAAGAAGCGTTCCCTAGATGTGACTGGTGACTACTCTTATCACTGGATTTCATCTGTTGTTTTAATTAATTCATTAATGAGAAAGATGTCTAATGTTTCCAAGTTAAAAAGCCTAAATGTTCCCCATACTGTATTTGGAACATCAGTGATTAGAAGGAGAACATTTATTCTTGATGGCTTATTGTATGAAATGTGTTGTATAAATAAAGTGAATTGTTATTGTTAATTTCAGATGTATCAGCACAATCAAATCCATTACATCTGTCCTATGCCTGCTCAGGAAGCCGAGCAGCCCCACAAGTTAGAAAAATCTCATTTCTGTGTTGTGTGTATTTTAGATTCTGCGTGCAACAGTGCACCGGGCTCATGTCCGAGCTCCCCCAACAACAGCTCTAGTAACATCCCCAAAGAAAATGGGGTAACCAACTCCAGCAGCCCAGGAGAGGTAAACAACACTGCTGCCCATATGTGTGTTTACTGTTGTGTGTGTGTGTGTGTGTGTTTGAGGCAGACAGGTGGCCAAAGGACTCTGGGAAGAGATTGGCATCATGTGTTCATTTTAATGGATGTGAGTGTGTGTGTGTGTGTTTGTTAAATACTGGAAAAGTAAAGCACTGTGTTTACTTTATGTTGCTGATACTGTGCAAGTGTCTGTTGTAATGTTGTGTGGTTGTGTGTGTCCAGGCCTCCCTGCTTCACAGGTTGGCTGCAAGGGAATGTTCACTTAGCCAGCTCTCTCTTTACACCTCCCCTTCTCTGCCCAACATCACCCTGGGACTGCCAGCCACAGGCCCTGCTAACACTGTGAGTACTCTTAATTGACAATATTATACAAATATACAGCACAGCATTACTTATAAAGAATCTTTAGTTTGCATAACATGACTCCAAAATGTAGCTTTCTGATCTCTATTGGTATTTATATTATATGTTATACCGTGCACCGACAGCATTCGCTGACTGGTTAGTTTATTGTAGAGAAGAACAGTAGGTATCATGAATCCAACATTCACTGCGTTGTTACCTGTCTGGCTATGCACAGGGAGGTTTGCAGAGTTCAGAAGTGGATTTTATCTTGCCATGCCTTTCATGCCTGTCTCTGCCTCTGATTCTCTTTCTCTTGCCCTCTCTGTCTTATTTGACCCTTGTGGTTTAGTCCATCTTCCTCTTTCTGTGCCTGCCTGCCTCTTTTCTTCTCACTCCTCATATCTCAATCTCTCTCTGTAGGTGGTATCAGGACACCAAGATGGTGAGAGTCATCTGCCTGCGTTACAGCAGGGCATTCCTCTGACCCCTCCTTTCCTGCCAACTGCCCACCTGCCCTCCTACTTGGCATCGTCAGCGCTTGACAGGGAAGGTGCTGGAGGGGGCACAGCTGGTCACAACTCGCTTCTCCAACACATGGTACTGCTGGAGCAGAGCCATAACCCAATGGGTCAGTGTTCACTGCCACATTTCTTCCTCACGTCTTACTGTAGAAGTCAGTAGCTGGTGTCTGAATTAATTAACGTGTGGAACTCTATATTCTTACAATCATGGGGACTGCACAGAACATATTCTTGGTAACGTGACAGTAAATAAATTATAATATAAGTTTGCTTGATTGACTCTTTGTCCATCTATCCATTATCTATTTTTTACATGCTTATCCTTGACAGTCAGCTGACATTAGGCAAGAGGCAAGGTACACACTTAACAGCTCACCAGTCTATCACAGGTCTGACACACGGAGACAGAAAACCATTCAGACTCACATTTGCACCTACAAGAATGTAAAGACATTAATGAACCTAACCGCCATGTGGGAGGGAGCCAGAGTAGCTGGAGAAAACTCACACAGGCATAGGGAGAACATGCAAACTGTACACAGAAAGGCCTCTGTCGAGCGACAGGTTTGAACCCAGAGCCTTCTTGCCATGAAGCAGCAGTGCTGACCACTGCACCACCCTGCCACAAGACTAATTTATTCTGCAAGTTTTTAAAGTAGCATGTAAATATTGTAAGTCAGAAATTACTAGTAGTTATTTTTAAGCTCAGTTACTCTACTCTTAGATATAATTTAACCTGTGTCTTGTCTTCACTTAAAGGGAAAATGCTACTTTTGTTATAGCCTCTGACTCATTTTGCAGTCCTATTAGCAATGATTTCACTCAGAGCTTAATTGTGGAGATTTTTCTGACTCATTGTACACATGTCTGCAGGGCATTACTAATATCAGGCACTAGACAATCTTTTGTAAAGGTCACAGTAAAGTGGACAAATAAAATGTACTGTAATTACAGCCAGTGGACGCAGTACCCCAACCACAGAAATGTGACACTGTTTATTAAAATAATAATAATAAAACATTGCTTTAACCACTCTCTGTTTACCACAGTTGGTCTGGGTGGCCTCCCAATATCATCACCCCCTGTCTCCAAGCTTGCACGGGGCCACCGTCCCCTGGGGAGAACACAGTCGGCCCCACTGCCCCAGCAGCAGTGTGGACAGGCCCAGGCCCTGCAGCAGCTGGTGGTCCAGCAGCAGCACCAGCAGTTCCTGGAGAAACACAAACAACTGTTCCAACAGCAGCAGCAGCAGCAGCAGCACAGAGGAAACAAGGTAGCCCGATGTGTGTGTGTGTGTGTGTGTGTGTGTGTGTGTGTGTGTGTGTGTGTGTGTGTGGGTACTATATGTGT